TAATCGAGTTTGGAAATATGTACTTGCGTTAAAAATATCACGGCACTAGCGACGGGGAAAGGCAAAGTTTAAATCTTCGAACTAAAGATTTCATTGCACCCTTACGTTATACATCCATATTTTAATATATCTTATAGCTTATGAATATACCTCTAAAAATTGAGTTTTTTGTGAATAAAAGTAGGATTTTTTCGAAAAAATTCTCCCAGATGACAAAACAGTTTAAGCTTAAGAAATCTACATAAAAATATTAAAAAATTGTATCAACGGAATCACAATAATAAGAATTTGATGCTGTTTTTTATATTTTTTCAAAGGTTTGGGTAAGAAAAACTTGAATAACTGCTCCAACTCTTTACCGATATGGACTTATGAGGTATCAGTGGAAAGGTACTTTCTCACCTTTTTTATTTCTTTGCAAAACAAACTTATTCACGTCCCAAAATTTTCTTTATCAAATACCAACACATCTTAATTCAACATGGAATGGCACGCGTTTATCTTACCTTCCTCTTTCATACTTTGAATGAGCTGATTCGCAAAGAAATTCAAAGGGTGAGAAAATACCTTAACAATGATACCTCATAAGTTTAAATTGATAAGGTTTCGGATGAGTTATTCAAGTTTTTCTTAAACCAGTCTTTGAAAAAAGTTCAAAAACAGCATCAAAAACTCATTATTATGATTCCGTAGAAAATTTTTTTTAAATATTTGTATGTAGTCATCTGAGGGAATTTTTTGAAAATATTTAAAAAAACTGTATTTTTAATAAAAAACTCAATTTTTGGAGGTATTTTCAAATCGGTCCAGCTCACGTAAATCTTATTATTTTTTAGAAATATTTTGGTAGAAGTCTTAAAATATAAAGATTTCATAATTCCAGTGGAAGAACAGTACAAATTTTTTCTTGTATGGCGAATGATGCAGTCTACTGTACATAAGTTGACTATGATTATTGGGCCGAGCTATCATAGTAGCACAATGCCACTAAGTGCATTTTAAAATTTTCAGGAAATAGCCTCATGCGATTATCGATTATAGTTTTTGTTGTTTGTGTGAATTATTTTATTTTTATCAGAACTTTTCTTTTTACGAAATGAATCGTGCAGAGAAAAATATATGTATGTATGTAGTACATGTTTTTTAATTGAATTGGATATGAAAATTTACAGAAAAAAAATATTTTCCACGTAATTGAAACGTTTGCATACATATAAAATGTACCTTATGGTACTATTGTCAACAACGAAAATCAAACGTTTCGCGTTGGGGAAAATGACACTGAATCTTACAATTTGTTTCTGACTATGTACAAAACCACAAATGATATGATGATCGATGAGCAAATGGGAATTGTTTTGTACAGTTTATTTTCGTACCCTGTTTTCAAACTAACATAATTTAAACCTTCTCTAAATACATACATATGTCTTATGTCAAAATTTCGACAAAATCGGTCCAGAGGTTTTTGAGTAAATGTGTTACACCAGTTTTGAATATTTACTTTATATAAATACGTATAAGATTTACTCAATTCTCATTTAAAATCTTTAAAGCTACAAATAATGTTGTATGGGCGGTAAAAATTTTGGTCATCTTCTTATAAATGCCATGGCGATTGACTTCGCCAAATTTCAACTACGAAGCTGCATTAGTTCATTTATGCCAGACAAATTGAATTAGGCCAAATGTGTATTGGTGAAAGGAGTAAAACGTAAATGCAAAATTGAATAAAAATTAAAATTTAAATTAAATGTCAATTAAATTGCAATTAGAAAATTTCGTGAAATCGGCTGTAAGTAACAACATTTCTACTAAGAAAAGCGTGGGATGCAAACAATATTCGTCTTGAAATAAACGTCCCGAGAGACGAAAAAAATAAAAAGCCCATATAATTATTATAAGAAGACGTATATAATATTTGTCTTGAAATAAACGTCCCGAGAGACGAAAAAAAATAAAAAGCACATATAATTATTATAAGAGAACTTAAATAATATTCGTCTTGAAATAAACGTCCAGAGAGATGAAAAAAAATAAAAAGCGCAAATAATTATTATGAGAAGACGTAAATAATATTCTTCTTATAATGAACGTCCCGAGAGACAAAAAATAATAAAAAGCCCATATAATTATTATAAGAAGACGTACATAATATTCGTCTTGAAATAAACGTCCAGAGAGACGAAGAAAAACAAAAAGCCCATATAATTATTATAAGAAGACGTAAATAATATTCGTCTTGATATAAACGTCCCGAGAGACGAAAAAAATAAAAAAAAAGTCCATATAATTATTATGAGAAGACGTAAATAATATTCGTCTTGAAATAAACGTCCAGAGAGACGAAAAACAATAAAAAAAGTCCATATAATTATTATGAGAAGACGTAAATAATATTTGTCTTGAAATAAACGTCCCGAGATGCGAAAAAAATAAAAAGCGCATATAACTATTATGAGAAGACGTAAATAATATTCTTCTTATAATGAACGTCCCGAGAGAAAAAATAAATAAAAAGCCCATATAATTATTATAAGAAGACGTACATAATATTCGTCTTGAAATAAACGTCCCGAGAGACGAGAAAAAAATAAAAAAAACCATATAATTATTATAAAAAGACGTAAATAATATTCGTCTTGAAATAATCGTCCCGCGAGATGAAAAAAGATACTCCTCGTAAATAATAATTGTACAAGGACGAACAAAATTTCTCTTAAAACAAGGCGACGTT